TTTATAAACTTTCCCCTATGTGAACAAAGCAAAATAGATGTTTTCCAGACGTACTCGCCAGCAGTAACTTAAACATGCATCAAGAAGCACGCAACTGTCATTGACAACTTAAGGAGCTACATTGACAACTGTCGCGGTACACATTGACAACTGTCGCGGCCTGATTGACAACACAATATCCCATTTTATCCTAAGGGTTTTCACCCACACTAACCTTCATCTTATTCTTCCTTTGCCACTGAACTAACATCAAAACAGAGCAAAACCACCCACAAGCAACCCAAAAACAGAGCACCCATGATCATCCTACACACCCAACTTAAATCACTAACACACACCAACCAAAAACACAATTTTTCTATTGATTAACTTGTAAATCCCATTTCCAAAACCACCCACAAGCAACCCAAAAAGACAAAAATGATTTTCTGATTTTCCATTCCTAAACAAATGCACAATCTGTCAAGAAAATTAGGAGAGAAGAGGAAAGAAAGTTCCACACCTGAACATTTGTGGAGATTCACATGGAAGCTCTTTGGAGTTCACTAATGGTAATGGAGAAGATATTTCATCATTAATGGCTCCTTCCCTCTTTCCCTATGTCTTCTCTCTCAAACATATTGCGCAGGAACTCCTCACCCAAATGAACTTCTCTCGTTTTGTTTCTGGCGGCAGGGGCAGGGCAAAACAGTAATTTTTGGATTCTGAAAATTGCACTGAGGTCCCTTTGGGACCTCAGAAAAATTATGAGATTTCAGAGGACCTATTTGATGTATTTTCTTCTCCATGGGACCTTAATGTCATTTTCCCTTTTAATATCCAGATTTTGAAAATACTCCCTACTCCAGTACCCTAGTCCCTTTTTTTTTTTGGTGCCAGAACTTATTTAAAGTTATAATTTTGGTGAAATGGCAGTTTTGTTTTTTTTACCTGGAAGAGTTTTTTTTTGGCCAACAGAGTATTTCTTATGTCATGATAATCCTCTTATTCTTAATATAAGACCTATTTAATTAATTTGATTAAATTAAAAAAGTTAGATAAGTTAGTTAATTATAAGAAATATGACATGCTTTTCCTAAAACCTCATAATCATCTTTTTTAATATCCTTCCTCCCTCACTTGATTGTGGTTGAAAAAATATCCATAAGGATAATTTGAGAAAAATTAATAAATATAAAAAATAAGTCTTATATTTAGAATCAAAATTAACTTAACAATTATATCATATATTAATGACTGGAGAAGTATTATATTGATATGCGAACACGTTAAGGGAGATGAGATGAAGTCACTTCATTAAATTTTTAACACAAATATATCATTTTTGGATATATCAACAAGAGTGATTGATTAAACAGCATGAAATTCTCTTAAAAAAAATAGGGGAATGTCAGAGAAAACACTTCATGAAATTATAAAGCAAGATCTTTTAATTAACAATATATCTAAAAATTTAGTCTTAAATATAGCTCAATAGCATCGTGCAATCTATATAACTGGCTCCATTTAATAGAATAAATCTTTGTTGTTGTTGTTGTTGTTGAATTTTGTCTCTTATTAATTATAGTATAGATAGTTTTTTTTAAAGGTGTATATATTAAATAAAGATAAAATTAAAAAATTGTTATGTTTTAAAAAAAAGTTAATATAATTTACAATTTTGTTTAAACATGTTGAAAATGCATTATAAATAAGATAAAAATAAAATTATAATGAAGTTTTAAGGAAGGGAAAAAATTGTAAAATAAGTTAGAGGTTATTATCTCCATTCTAAAACTTTTCATTATAAACTGCTAAGATTATTATTAGGGTTTAATAATTATTAGTTTTTCTTAAAATTTGATTGTGATTCTCGCTAGGATAAAAGTAGTATGTTATCATATTCTGTTCCAAAACAATATTTTAAGGGTGTTTGGCAATACTAATAAGTACTTTTAAATTTTTTTTTGATAAAATAATATAAAATTTTTCATATATTTATTTTATACACTATAAAACTATTTTTAAAATTATGATTTAGTTTTTTCTCAAACACCGCTCGGGGTATACTGTACTGATAAAATGACGAGTCGTGAGGGTGGATCACATGTGATCACAAATATCGGGTCATGTACACGCGTCAGCACACCAGCGCTCCTCGTGGCCCTTCTTCCCATGGCGCCCTCGGTATCTCATTTTCTCGTTATACTCCATCCTATTTTAATAATAAGATTTTATTTATATTTTATTTATTATTTTCCAATATATACCGTAGAAGTAGTATATAATCTCTAGTTTTTAATACAAAAGCTATATGACTAATTTAAATAGATTTAAAAAATTAATTATTTGTAATAAATAGGATTTATTTTTTCTAAAATGTCTTTGCTAATTAAGTATGTTGGTTATAATCATCATTATTACAATAACTACTTTAAAAAAATAGATAAATATGAAAGATAAAGTGAATTGATATCTTATATTTACGATCAAAATAAAAATCAAACAAGTTTTTATATTAAGAACCAGAAGTAATAGTGTTTTTCAGATCATTCATCAAAAAAGGAAAAGGAAAATGAAAAGTATTTTATGGAACCATGATTTAGATAAAAATCAGTACTAGTATTTATGGAATCATGGTTGTATGCGGTGGCGAAGAGTCATGAATCAGTGTTTTTTCAAGGAATGATCAATTACAGCGTTCTGTGAACCACCAAGGTAATGCTTCAAATACGTAGCTTTCCGGTTCGTGCCTTATTTACATCGACACATGACAAACAAAGATTCAAGCACTCGTCGGTCATTACTCATTAGGTTGCTTTCACTGTTGTGATTCACGTTGCTTTATACCTATTTAATTTGTGTGTACGAGCAAGAAAAATAAAAAAAAAGAACGCATGGGTGTGAAAAATCTAATTAATTTAATGGCGTCACGATGTTTGACATTTTTACATAGTATATTTCTTAGCCAGCTGTATTACTTTTCGAATTATAAACAATATGGTTAGTCTCTCTTTTGACTTTATCTAATATATATTTCACTAGTTCTATTTATAAATTACTTTTAATACTGATAAAAATCTAAAAATCATTAATTATGTGTTAAAATTTAAGAAAATTTTAAATTTGCCCATATTTAACATATATATTTTAAAAAAGGTAATGAATTACACAATATTAAATAAAAGATAACATTGTATATTTTTATATAAAAAAATATTTCCATAAGTGGAATTTCTGTTGAACTGATCATGATGCGGCCGTGAGACTAGTATTCTAACATAGTTCAACATTCCTCCTTCACTGAAAAAGTCATGCTGGAATCAAACGATGGAATTAAGACTCACAAATAACGTGGCAAGAGCCTCATTTTCCTTAACGCCAAAACACAAGCGTTACTTATTTATTTATACATGAAACCAAGTTAACTGTGGTCTGCATCAGCATGCCTAATTAAACCCCATCCTGTAAACATTCTAACTGATACTCCGTTTGGCACTTATTATAGGACTGTATTAACAACTTTAAATAAATTAAGATTCTTTTTTGAGAATTTCAATGAAGTTTATTTATTAGGGGAGGTTTTTTTAGGTAGTTATGGGATTTTTTAATTTGTTGGAGCATAACAACTCTTTTTTGCCAGCACAAAGAATATTTTAAAAAAATAATGCCTCAGACAGAAAATCTAATGTTAAGAGATATGATGAATGGTCTAACAAAAAGGATGGAAGAAAGTATGTTAAAAGCAATTGTTAAGGACTCATAATTTATAAATATTTTTTGTAAATTTGTTTAGCACTTTATTAGTATAGAATCTGTAAATACTTGTATAAGTATTCTATAAACCTCTTGTTTTAATGAGACTTTCGGACTAAACTCATTTTTTTAAAAAAAGGGATTTTGTCAAAAAATACGAAGTACATGATAGTATTTCTTAATGTATTATTTCTTGTTTATAATTTTTTAATTTATTACTATTGCTTAATCTAGCATCCGCGCAACATTTATCACCATCATATCCCTGTTTAATTACTTATATACCAAAAACACGATATGCGTGATTTTTGTGTGTTTAAAATAAAAATACACTAGATTCATTTCTGTGGTTCCGTGCATGTGATCTCGGCACCCACTGGTCATTATTGAAAAATAAGATGAAATTAGGTATTTAGGAAATAGTTATCCCTATTATGTTTATCTTCCTTGAGTAAACCTTGTTATGTTCACCTTAAAACACACAAGCACTGAATGGTCATGCCCGTGCCCAATGCTTTTTTCTATATTTATCTTTATTATTATCATGCAATAAAAAAAAATAAGATTGTACTGCTGATGTTTAAATATAATTTGCATGAATCACTTCATAAATTTAATTTCAGCGATCCAATTTCTTAATTTTTTTTAAACTGACAACTTCGTCCATTAAAAATTAATTGTTTGCTTTTGAACTTTATTAAAATTAAAAATTAAAATTTATCTCATCCATTTTTATTTTTACTGTTTCAGGATTTTAGAGTGTCCCAACTTTCAACAACAGCAATAATCATAATCCTGCTTGTTAAATATAATCGCACTTTTTATACCATTTTAAATATTTGCACAGCTCATTAATTTTATCAACAACCTCAAAAGTCAAAAAGCATAGGATTTGACAAATGGATTAAAGAAAATTAATGAACTTGAAAAGATAATTGTAGGAAAATGGGGAGAGAGATAAAAGGAAATCAAAACCAATTAATGTACGCGGAAGGTGGCGGAGAGCGTCAAAACAAGAGAAAATATAAAACCAGAAAGGTGGATTGAAAGGGCGGCAAATTTCCCGGCCTGGTTGCAGCACGCGCGGGATCAGCGATCCCTGTACAACACAGAAGTAAGATGAGTAGTTAGATGTGTTCTTCCTGCTGTGTATTTCTTCATTTTCGTTGTTTGCTGTCATCTCGTCATTTTTCCTATTTTTCTTTTTAAAAAATTTCCTGTAACAATTAACAGTTTCAAGGTTTTTTTTTTTTTTTGGTTGGGTTTTTGGTTTTCTCCTTCCTTTGTTCCTTTTTCCCCACAAAACCAGACCGGTCTCTCCTGTTGCTTCAGCCCAACTCTCTAATCGCATTACAACACGGGCGCTTCCTCCTCCCTACCTTCCTCACTCTTCATATCCATCTCCGCCTGCCTCCCCACTATTTTATTAACCATAATCTCGTCAACATTTTCAGGTCAAAACGCGCATCAGTTTCCGAACTTGGACCTTCCCTGGCTGATCATCGGCCTCTATTTTTTAACTGCGTAATCTTTGGACGATATATAGTCTCTTTCAAGATCGGATAATAATCTAATACTCTCTAATCGTTGCACAGTAGAGAACCCTGTTGGAGATGGTCCTTTGACATCTGGGAGTTATCTGTAGCCCGTCAAAATTGAATTTCTGGGTCTGATGCTCGTCCCAATTACATGAAAACTCGTATCTGATTTGTGGATAATTGCTGGCTTTTCATTTTTGGATCTAGCATCGTCGGGATTGATCCACCTTGTGAGTTTTGGGGGATGACCATGAAGTCCGGGTCACTAGAATACTGGAGGAATTACTTTCGAGCTGCAAACTCTGATATATTCGATATAATTGACCACGCGATCATGGTGGCGGTTTCCGATTGTCCGAAAGAATTTAGATTACGAAGAGACGGAATTGCGGAACGTTTGTTTTCTTGTAGATTGAATCGTTGTGTGGGGTGTGATCGATTGGAGTTGGCGGTTTCCGGTGATGATGAGGGAGATGGGGGTTGTAAGAGTGGTTTTGATCGAGATGCTACTGAATTGGAAGCAGGAGCTAGTAAAGAAAGCAAGGTCCATAGTAGCAGAGACGATCATGGAGAGATGAACAGGAACCAAGTTGGCAATTTTAGTTTTGGAGAAGCTGAGGCATTGACTGATGAGATTGAAGAAGAATCTCAGATGGTTGGGGAGGTTTTGAGGATCAAAGAGGTTCTCCATAACAGCAAGGAAGAGGTATATCCTCTTTTCTTGAAATTCTCTTCTCTGTTAGTGTTCAACTGTTCATCCCTTCCGGATTAACAATCTGTCCGTATGTTGATGTTAATCTCCTCAGTCAATTCCTGCTTCTTTGTGTTACAATTTATTCTGGAAGTTTGATGATATTTGACCATATAAGGTGGGTTGTGATAGATAGTTTCGAAGAAAAACTGCTCCTCAGGACATGTTACAGTTCTCAAATTCTCCGGTCCATTATTCATGGTGCTTTCTTTCATTTTGCGACAGCCTGACTCAGTGTTATTCGAGTCGTTGAGGAGGCTCCAGCTGCTGGCACTGACCGTGGATCTTCTTAAGGTTTGTATTGGAACTTCCATTAGTCTTTCAATGATGCGTCTCATGCTTTTTGGCTTCGCGTTTTCGCTTCCTTCCAGTCCTTTACCACGTCCTTTAATGGTCTCAAATTTAACTTCTTCCAGGGAACTGAGATTGGAAAGGCTGTCAATCCTCTCAGGAAGCACGGATCAAAGGAGATTCGTCAACTTGCACGAACTCTTATCGAGTATGAACAAAGTCCCCAGAATGCTTGTTTGCCTTGCATACATGTTATTTCATCTTAATTTGTTGGTGCGAGATCTTTCTTTGTATTCTCGTGTGATTTTATCTGTTAACTTGAATATAGGTCTGAGCCCATCAACGCATTTGACTTTGTTGTCTACGTATCTGCTTTCCACCACCACCATCATCTTATTTCTAAAGACTGATCGTCCGCAGCTAATTATCCTAACATATTGATATCATTACCAGTGCGATGATTACTTGGTTTATTTATTACAAAAGCTTGCAACTTTCTCAGTTGTTTATGTCCATTGTGTTCAAGTGTAGTGCTTGAATAGTTTGATGAGGCTCTGTTGCATATGATGCATAACCAAATTCAGTTCCATTTAAAGCATACTCATGCCAGGACATCAAATCTGTTCGATAGTTTATCATCATTGGTTTCATTAGTTTGATATAGACTCATGTGGGGAATCTGTTTTACTTGGTTAGCTGCATAGTAGACAACATTCTAAGCACAGTTTTGAATTGCAGTGGCTGGAAAGAAATGGTAGATGAATGGGTCAAGTCCACAGCTGCTATAGCAGGTAAAACTTTCTATCTGCATTCCTCACACAGCCATCAAGATTTTCTGATTACTTTCGCCCTCTCTAAAATCAATTGATGTTTAAATTTGACTTTTACTAATGATTCACAGGGTCAGCAGAAGGAACCCCAGATTCAGTTGATCCATCAGTCGTTGATGAAGAGGAGGGGCTTCCTTCACCTCCTATGGATGAAGGGGCTTTTCTTGCAGCTCCAACTGGTCCAATGGAACTCTCACAGGTAGTTAACTATACCATTCCCCCTTTTAATGCAGGGTTTGATAGCTTAAAACTGATCCCTCTCTTGTCTTGGTGGATGTCACATAACTGGATTATGCGAAGTTCTTTGATGGCATGGATGATGATGGAAGTGAGTTAAATTCGCGTTAGCTTATGCTATTCTAGCTTGCTTTGTTAATTTAGTTCTTATTAAAATTTCCTACTTCTCTGGTTATGCTTATGTTTGGGGAATTTTGTTTCAGATTTTCGACAAAGTGGGGAATTCATCAAGACTCGAGAACACATCAGAAAACTATCTATGGACAGTCAAAACGTTGCAAAGAGAAAACCACAGGCTTCCAGTGAGGCCAAGGAGAGTAATTGTCATCAAATGAAGAAAAATGAGGTTGCTATGAGACAGAGTAAACCGGTCTGCACTGATTCTGGCCCTGGCAGGCCACCAAGGTCCAGCTTGCAGCAAAAAACCAACGCAGGACCAAAGATGCAGCAGAAACAAGAGAAGAGTGCTATCCCAAAAAGGCCTCTTGTTGCTCAGCAAGATGTAAGAAAGAACCTCTATATGCTCCAATCTTTGTCACTATTGAGTTCTGTCTAACCTTATTTTACTGGTTGTCAGAAATTCAAGTGTTCAGATGATGTTTCAGTCCAAGTGAAACTAGAAGCCACTAAGAGGAAACTTCAGGAGTCCTATCAACAGGCTGAAAATGGTGCGCGATTTCTTCTCTGATATCAACGTTTGTTTTTTATGTTTGGCCTAATTTTAAATATTAACAGTTCAAACAGTGAAGGGGCTTCTCTGTGTCCAGAGAGTTGGCTCACAAATTTGCAGAATTCCGAGCTTGAATCTTAACTTATTATGATTGTCGTGCTGCATGCTTTACAGTTATGATATTAATTGTTGAAACTTGTTTGCTTTATTTGCAGCCAAGAAGCAACGAACAATACAGGTTATGGAGTTGCATGATCTTCCAAAGCAAGGGAATGGCCACCGAAATCCACACTTCAAGCCTGGGAATCTCAACAAGCACTGGGCTCACGGACGAAGATAGAAATTTCTGTATGCAAGAAGAGGAACTACGGTAGTTTTGCGGAAGTTTCAAGACAACGACTAACTCGTTTTGCCATGCCGTGGCCGAAACAGAAGCATGGCCTGCTTGACCATCAACAAAATACCACGTCCATTCAGTGGCTTTTTCTTGAGTCAAAAGACATTGAGTACATGGAAATTTTGTTCACCCGCGATTGGTGCAGAGGGTCCTAACTTCGACACTCAACTGTCAACTTGTTTCTAAGATTATTGTCTATATAGAAATCTTAGTGAATCCACTCTTCAATTCTATCATTTTAACTTTGTCATAAATTCAGTGGTCTTCCACTCATAAATAGTTTTGAGCCCATTATTCAACCTTTGTTTCCCTTATGCCTTTGCTTGGAGGAATTAAGCTGTTTAGTGTAAAGCAAAATCCATAAAGTTATAACATCACTTGTTTGGATATTGTTACATTGCGGCCTAAGAGAAGAAGTTTGAAATGAAGTGATAAAGGGGAGAGAAGGCAAGCTAATAGTGTAAAGCAAAAGCAAACTTTGAAATGAATGGGGCGGTGACAACGAGTCAGGGAAGGGAATCTAGTGTTAATAAAATGAAATGAACCCATACGTCCCAAGTTGCTGAAACAAATTATATATTTTATACGTGAAAGTCGGGACTTGTGGCAGAATTTAATTTGTTGCAAGAGTGAATTCAAAGATATTGTCGCTTGGCATCAAAGATGGGAATATCTATGATCTTAGGCTGAGATTCGAATTTTGGATGCCTTCCAACTTTCCGCGATGCATTTTTAGGACTCGTTTTCATTCTCTCCCCGATTTTTTTGGTAAAGTCTGGGAAAAGTATAAAAGCTTGAGGAGGTATGAGCAGCCTAATGACCTTCAAAGCATTGGACTGGACATCTCACAATATTATAATAGGAATAAGGGCAGCACATGCCAGAGTTGGAAGGCTACTTTTTTTTTTGGGGTTATTATTGGCTGGCTTTTTCTTTTACTTTGCAATTTGCAACGTCAATGGACTGATAATCATCTCTTTTGGAAGCTTGTTTTATTCTGGTCAAATAATGAAGCATGATGTAGTCACTAACAGTAATAATATTTTTAAAGGCAAGCTCAAATTTGTTTATAATCATCACATTTATAATTATTTAATGGTAAACCTACATGAAAAAAAAATACATGTTAAAATGTGATTGAAAAACTTGATAAAATTATTATAAGAAATTTAATCTACATATTTTCCCATTTATAACCGTGAGAGTAATTCATTCACTCCAAATTGTTGCCGTTTATCTCATCTTCTCTTCTCTTTTATTCTGACATGTACGCTCCGAAAAAGAGCTGGAGTTGCAAACAATTTCTACTTTTCCTGACAGTTTCTGGCTTCCAATCAGGACCATAACTCAACGGAGTAAAAATAGAAAATCTCCTCACCATCTAGGTGTGAAAGGAAGTAATGAGGCAGAGCACGCAGTTTAATATATATATATATATATATATATATATGGTGACAGACAGAATAATAATAGGAAAAAAAGAGAGAGAGGAAGAGGGAGTGTACAACGAACATAAGAGGCCAAGAGAGTGCATTTTTCTGATAAAGTGGAAGAATCAGTGAATGGACCACTATGGTGAATTGTGGAGTTCTCAGATTTGCTGTCTCTTGTCTGTCTCTCCCATTTGAAAGTCACATCTTTCTTTCTTTCTTTCTTTTCATCGTCTTCCATCTTTAATTTATACATCTGCATGACCTAATATGCTTAAATAAAACAACATCCGACCAAGAAAAACGGGAAAAAAAAATGTAAATACCAATTTCATAAACAATCCCTTTTTTTTGTCATATTATTTTCAAATGCATAAATATATAGAGATTCAATTTTCTCGCCCAGTGGGGAAAGAAAAAGGAGAAGGAAAGAGAGAGAGAGAGGGAAAAAAAATGAAAAGGGATGTCACTTTCTGATTCCATTAGTAGGGCAAGCTGTTGGGCAGAAAAATTAGATGTAATGAAACGCGATATGAAAAAAAAAAAGGGTGGAAGATAAGAAACGTGGCAGAGGGATTGATCTTATCTTGTGAAGAATAAGAAACCCACTCAAAACCCAATAAAAGATTAACTCAGATATTTCGAGATGTATTAACGAACGAGTGAAGATTTGGAGAAATTTGGGTCGCACAAGCAAGCAATGACCAAAGCATCTGGAATAATTGCATCCATGCACTGTAAATTTAGAGTAATATGCAAGGGACGTTAAATTACATTTCCATGGAAAGTTGTTTCCTTTTGCTTTTCATCTTTCTTTCTCTTTTTAAGTGTGATTTTTTAATTTCTGGTTTTGGATGTTTGTTTGAGACCTGCTGGTCAAAGTGTGGGAAGATGAGAACAAAGAATCAAGCCCCACCTAATTAATTAGGCTTCCATGTTCTTCACCTACATTTAGTTATTTTATTAATTCATTACTCATTAACAATACTTGCCACTATCTATTAACCACTTCATAATTGGTGTCCCATTTTAAGTTGGTGAAATAATTTCCCTTATCTTTTCCCGTTCTTTACCTACTAAGCTTGCCATCTACACTTTGATTATTGGTTGGACTTCTAAGTATTATAGTGCAGCTCAATTCTGGATCGCGTGCACGTACGAATAATCCTAACAGATTATAATAACAATTATTACTTATTGATGGTTAATTATCAATAAAGCATAGAATAATCTCGAATTAATAACAAATTTATCTAAATTACGTTCAATGCACTGATTCAATATAAGACGGTAGTCCTGAGTCCTGACATTAAACGCAAAAGAGACAAAAACGTAATAATAGAGGGAGTATGGGTGAGATTTGAATTAAAAGTGAAAATGGATGATGGGTTCGTGCCGCGATCAATGTCTAATTCAGATTATTATTTAGCTTTCTATACATATAAATAAACAACAATAGAGTCAACATTTAATGATTTTCAATTTCCTTCTATTTTGTTAGACGTTTGCTCAGTTCGGGAAAATTATTTTGCAGGTGTTCATATTTTTCTAATACCTATATATTTTTCACTATTATATCATTTAATTTTACTGTTCTCGTTATTTAAAAAAAGGGGATACATTCCAAATTAACTACAGAATGAAATCATAAGTATTTGCAAAATAATTTTCCCGGCTGCTAGTTGAATCTTGGTACGCAATACTATAAGGGGCTAAATACAAGCTCCATTGCTGGTTAAAAAAAAAAAAAATACAAGCTCCATTGGTTGTATGTATATTTTTATTTTATCTTGCTACTCATCAATATCTTCTCATTTGGGAGGATCTTATTCGATACACTATTAGGAGGTGTTTGGAAGCTTATAGGAATGCTTTTAAAAATTATTTTTTCATAAAGCAAAATAAATACATCTACATATTTATTTTTTATATCGTAAAAGCACTTTTAAAACTTTTCTATCCAAACATCCTCTAGGTAGTAAATGTAAATATCACTTCTAGTAGGATTTGAATCTTGATTTGCCACATTATAAATGACTAACTTCTCTCGCTTATAGGAACTTAAAAAAGTACTTATAAATTGCTTACTAATAAAGACATCATATTAACAGTGGGATTCGAACTCACTATTTTATATGTCATGAGTCAATTCCTTACAAACTGAATCAATTCTTCATGGTGGTTCGTTTTCTTGTTAATGTTTCATTGGGCTGGAGATAATGGTTTGCACATAAGCCTGACCAAAATATCGGCTCTCCTCGTGGGTAGGGATGGGTCCATCGGCCCAACAAAACAAAAAAACCTGTGCTCGTCCACGAGTCACGCGGGGGCAATTACGTAATACGGCTACGTAATTTTTTCAAAATTAAAAGTCTTACTGCCATTATTTTAAATATCAATAGCATGTACTAATTGTTTGGGATTTGTTCAAATATCTTTTGTAATGGCCGACATTTTTTTTAGGATCTTTTTGTCTTTTTATTAAAATTGCCTTTAATTAAAAAAAAAAATCAATAGCATTCTGTCGGGGTGACGTGCGTGTGTATATAAGTCCAGAAATGATGTCTATGCCTTTACGAATTGTGATCCGGAATGAGGCGTGTTTGAGAAAATCGGAGACTGCGCCGCTCCCCCTTCCATTGGCCACTTATTATTTGAACAATTTTATTGTTATTAGAATTTATAATAAATTTTAAAATTTTCAAAACTTATTGAAATAATCTGTTACCTTAGTTTATTATTTTACTGATGTTGTTTTGCTTAGATAAGTTCGGGCAAATTGAATGTTGAAAACTCATAAAATTCGTGTAAATTTTAGTGTTGAAAGAGAATTTGTTAAAAAAAAGGAGCAATTATTAAAAAAAAAAAACTACCTATAAATTATTCCATATGGCTTGGGATTTGGGAGTAGTGGTGATATAACGAATCAACCTCTATCGTAAACATGATTGTTTTAACATGACATGTTGATGAGTAAAGTAATAAATTGATTAACAATAATAAGAAATTCAAATAAATTAACAATAAATAATGGAAGTTATGTTTTGATCGTTCGGTGGGTGGTTTTTTTTTTTGAGGGGGGGGGGGGGGTAACTAGCAAAACAACACAATGGAAGAGGAGGAGGTGTGAAGCTGAAGTTTGAGTGGGAGCGTTGAGTGGCCCAATCGAAGTTTGCCGACACTTTCACAGCCATGGCTTGCAGCTGGGAAGCAAATCCCCCACTTTGGTTAATTAATTTCAATTACAGAATCACCAGACAGCGCTGATTGCTGAATGCTTATGCGCTGCAGAAACTGACAAGGCCGTATTTTAGAGAATCACACAAATAAAAAGGAATAAGCAGTTGGGTTTGTGTGTGAAGATCGTTATGAGCCCTGTGTTTGTGTCGGCCACTCATTCTAATTCACCACATCCCATATTTTAGGGCAACCAACCCTGGTGGCTATCCTTGTTTCATCCTTCTTACACAAATGCTCCTATATTCTTATATTCATTTCTATTTTTGTTGGATTATGTTGTCACAAATGATATCGAACCCATAATTATCAATTAACAATTAATTTTTAGAAAAATTACATACGGGTCTCACAGAAGACAATTAATTTTAAAAAAGTCTCTCGAAATCCCTAAATGCTTCTCAAGTTTCTAGGGATTTTAGAGCAAAAAATTAAAATTATGAAATTACTTACTTGCCCTCACTGTTGGAAAAGGTTGTGATTGGCTGCTATGTATGTTGTGACTATATTCTGTGGATATTGTCGTTCGGTTGAGTGTAGGTTGTGACTGACTTCTGTGCATATTGTGAATGGCTCAAATGTAGATTGTGATTGTAGCTGTGCATGTTGTCATTCGGTGAGGACAAGTAGATAATTTTACAATTT